AAAAAAAAAAAAAAAAAAAAACCAAGAATGTTATTCAATTTGAATTTCTTTTAAAACATTAATGTTTTGGAAAACTCCAACAATGCCCTAAATATGTAAACGTGTTTTTTTTTTTCATAAAAACAGGGTTCAAAATCAATGGTGCATCATCAAACAATTGATTGAACTTCTAAGCAATCTTAGATGAGTAGCAATTTTCATGTACACCTATATTGATGGAAAAGTTCACCTTCTAGTAAACTATGCTGGATTTTAGAAATGCTTCTTTCAAGAAGTGGAAAAAACAAAATGGTAAAGCATGAATGGGCGAAACGAGTAGCTCAAGTTATAAGATCCGAACTTGGATTGATCGGGCTAGGGGGGACTGATTTGATCACTCCGCTCCTTCTTGACTGAGTGGAGTCAATAAGAAGAAGGATAATCCAACAGTGCTGGATAGTTGAGTCGAACGAGAGATCACACGTCAAATCAATATCGAATATATAATCTACACTTTATAGTCTTTAAGACTACCAGCAGTAGTAGATTGTTGAACGAGGAGCTACAATCTAACAAATTGGGCTTCATACGGAGCGATGGGTCGTCCCAGCACACTTAATGGTGTAGATTATTATTATTATTATTATTATTATTATTATTATTATTATTATTATTATTATTATTATTATTATTATTATTATTATTATTATTATTATTATCTTAGAGAATAAGTTAGAAAATAAATAATATTATTAGAAATCTTGTCTTGTTGGACAAGTTAGAAATAAGGTTTTTGAGTCTTATTTAAAGGGCTCATCATATATTGTTTTAGGTAGTTGATTATGGAGATGAATAAGAATCGATATTGTGAGTTTTGCGTATTTTACGAGAGAGTATCTCGTTTACTCGTTTATCCTTCTCATTCGTTCACGGTTTCTCGTTTATCCTTCTCATTCGTTCACGCTTTCGCTACATCACTTAATCTAGAACAAGAATCCAAAATTATGCTAAAAAATATAGTTTTCCAAACAATCATGCTCAACATCACATTTAATTATGCCAAGACAAATATAGTTGGTGGAGTCCAATAAAACCATGCCACGTGAATCACCACATATCTTTTTCTTTTTCTTTTTTCTTTTTGTCTCACAAGAATGTTCATTTGAAAATTGACAATTGACAAAGATCAGTAGGTCAAGCTATATACATTATTATTATTATTATTATTATTATTATTATTATTATTATTATTATTATTATTATTATTATTATTATTATTATTATTATTATTATTATTATGTCATGGCATTTATTCATTGCACATCAAATGAGTCACATTATTATTATAAAAATTTAAAGTCTCAGACAAAATATCAACTAACGGATATTACAGTACAATAGTTGGCAACATCTGATTGGGAAAGGAAAAAAGAAAAAAGGCCAAATAAAAAGAAGGGATTTTTCAATTTTAGAATATCTAAAGGACTATAGGGACCACCAGCACCATAACAAAAAATATATATATAAAAAAAAAAAAAAAATGGTTAAAAAAACTAACCGATGTAAAAAAGCTTGGAGTCAATGGCACTAGAGCTTGTAATTGTGGACAATCACTGTCATCAGTAAATGTGTGGAGTCTTTAGATTCAAACTCTTTCACCATTTTAGTTCATATGGTAATTTTTCAAATCTTATACTTTCTTGAACGTTTATTTTATGTAAAAGTACGTTTGACATAAAAAGCGAATAACACATTTATTTTATATAAAAGTACGTTTGATATGAAAGCGAATAACAAACAATTGATTGAGTTTAATTAATTAGCTGATAGTAGATAACCGATTGAATCAACCGTTAGACTAGATGATCCATCTAGTTATATAATTAGTTGTTTTAACTTATTAGATTAGCAAAACTAAATGATTAAATTAGACTAGATGATCCATCTAGTTATATAATTAGTTGTTTTAACTTATTAGATTAGTAAAATTAAGTGATTAAATTACAGTTGGTAGTTGAATCAATTAGACATTAGTTGATAGTCGATAGCGGAATGATTAATTCTTTAACTCAATAACTCAAATAGTTACTATTTTTTTATGTTTTGATTAAGTATATTTTACTAAATTTTTATTTTTATTTAATTCTTACATACTTATATTTTTTAATCCGATATTGCAACAAGTATTTCTTTGTTTGAGTTTTGAAATTCAATTATTAAAAGTGTACTGTAGCCATAATATATGATAACTAGATAGAAAAATAAATAAAATAAAACGGTTGTTGTGATTCAGGGGCGGAGCTATGATTCAAAATGTTGTCGGGCTAAAGTCTTATTGTTAACGAGAAGCGTTGTTTTGAGAATGAAACTTGAAATGCAAGCCTTGATTTGGAAACAACTAAAAAAATTAGGACCCGAATTGTAAAGATAAATAAATCAAATCCTAATTGAAGAGTAGATGTAAAATTGAGGCCCTATTATGGAATTCTCCCATTACAAATTCATGTTGTGGTTAAATGACTATGGTTATTAAAATAAAATGAAACTGTCATCACTTTTAATGTTTTTTTTTTTTTTTTTTTTTT